TTCTCACTCACAGGCGGGTGTTGAACGATGAGAGCACATGGACAAAGGGAGGGGAGCACTACACACTGGGGTCAGTTGGGGGGACATAGGGGAGGGACGGTGGGGGGTGGGGAGCTGGGGGGGGATAGCAGGGGGAGAAATGCCACATGTAGGTGATGGGGAGGAAGGCAGCAAATCACACTACCATGTGGGTTCCTATGCAACAATTTTGCATGTTCTTCACATGTACCCCAAAACCTAAAATACAATAAAATAAATAAATGGGAAAAAAAATTGATATTTAAATTTTAAATTCCCTTATCTCTTGAGTTTCAAGACTGATATCTAAGTAATATTTCTCAGAAATTAAAAAAGGAAAAAAAATATCCTAATTAGCATGTCATAGGTCATATCCCAATGGTGAGAGGTAAAGTGGTTGAGAATATTTGTTCTCTGTGGTTCAGAAAATACAGTTTAAACAGTTACTATCAAATTGGAATCCTAAGTTCAATGAAAAAAAAATTGAATATTAGAGTGGCATCGACCTGGTGTCAGAACTTAATCACCAAAGACAAGGTGAGCATGGTTACCATGATGACAGCAAAATCAAAGCAGTGATCAGAATAGCCTGACTCAAAAAAAGATCTATGATACTGACTATTGGATCATGGTGTCCCTAGAAACATAGAAGTCTATTAAACTCATATTTGATCTGAATAAGTGGAAGAGTTTGAGATCAAGGGAACAGAAGTCTAATTTGAATCACCAAAAGAGAGTGTCATGACCCCATAATCAACTCCCAGACTCAAGCCAGTTTACAGACACAGAATCCATTGAATGAAGAGGAAGGCAGGTCCCTTTGAGGAAGGAACCTGCTATACTGTCAAAAATGTATACTGCTATACTTTCTCCCAGCCTTCTCTAGCAAGATCTATAACTATTTACTAAGGTGACTGTGTACTGGGGAATGTGAAGTAGTCATGCTTTTGGGGATTACTCAACGCTGACTCTGACGTGACACTAATTCTTAAGAGATTCAAAACATTCCTGTGATGCTCTAGTCAGAGTAAGGGTTCACGGAGGTCAAGTGATGAATGGAGTATTAGCTCAGATCCATCTCACCATGAGTCCAGGGAACTAAAGCCGTGTGATTTCCCTAGTTCCGTAATACATAATCAAAACAGATATAATCAACCACTGGCAGAAAATCCCCTCACTGGAATAATTCTGCTTTACCAATCACAAAGAAAACCATTTGTTTTCTTAAGCAAATGTAATATTATCATTTTGTCTTTATATATATGGGGTTTTTGCCAGTGGTGCCCTCTCAAATAACACAAAATCATATCATGAGAAATATTCCATTGAAAAACTTAAAAAGAAATATGCTTCACTTTAAAATATATTACACTATGGAGACAATTATAAGAATGATGCAATATAGATTTCTGCAAATATAAGAGCTTAGATTATACTTAACCAATATAAATACTAAGTATTAAATTATATAAAACACACATATAAATGTGCCAGAGCAATATCAGTTCTCCTTTAAATCACTAATAACTTCTTAATTCAAAAGGGATATTTAATATATTGTTGAAAACTCTCACTTGTGATGTGTCATGCATAAACACGTGAGGAATTAAAAAACTGTTTCCAAGGCCAGGCACAGTGGCTCATGCCTGTAATCCCAGCACTTTGGGAGGCCAGGGTGGGCAGATCAACTGAGGTCAGGAGTTTGAGACCAGCATGGCCAACATGGTGAAACGCTGTCTCTACTAAAAATACAAAAATTATCCAGGTGTGGTAACACATGCCTGTAATCCTAGCTACTTGGGAGGCTGAGGCACAAGAATCACTTGAACCTGGGAGATGTAGGTTGCAGTGAGCTGAGA